AGCCCAGGTTTTGTCTGCACCCTGTGGTTGTTGTTCTGTACCCTGGGCATGTTCTGTACCCCCAATTTGTTCTGCACCCCCGTGGCGGTGGTGTTCTGTACAGCGGGGTATGTTCTGTACCCCGGGATTGTTCTGCAACACAAGGGGGGTGTTGTTCAGTACTCCGGGTTTGTTCTGGACCCCTGGTTTGGTCTGCATCCCCCGTTGTTCTGCACCCTGGGCGTGTTCTGCACTCCGAATTTGTTCTGCACCCCGTGTTTGTTGTTCTGCACCCCGAATTCGTTCTGTACCCCGGGTTCGTTCTGTACCTGGGTGCTGGTCTGCACTCCTGGGGAGTTGTTCTGTGCCCTGGGTTTGTTCTGCACCCCGCAGTTCTGCGGGTACAGGCAGGGTACAGGCATGTTCTGTACCCTGAGTTGGTTCTGCACCCCGTGTTTGCTCTGCTTGCAGGTTTTGGTTTCCCCTCCCTGGCTGGTTGTTTTTCACGCCCGGTTGTTTTTCTGCTCTTGTTTCTGTTGTTTCTGTCACTCCAGTTTCTGTTTGTTTGCACCCTCATTTCTGTTATGCACCCCGGTTTTTTGGTTTGGTTTGGTTTGTTTTTTTTTTTCATATCCCCATTTCTGTTTTTCATTCCCGTATCTATTTTGCACCCCTGTTTCTATTTTGCACGCCCGTGGCTCCCCTTCCCCTCCTCCCTCCCATTCGCAGGCGCGGGGCCCCACCATGTGGGACCTGCAGGCTGCACCCCCAAATGCAGAGCGGGTTCACCCCTTCTCCCAGTCCCCCAAGCAGCTGCGTGTGTTCCCCCCACCCCGTCCTGGGCGCATGTGGGGAGCACAGGAATGGGGTGCTGAGGCATGCGGGCTGTGGGGGAACTGAATTAGGGGTGCCAGGGGTGCCAGGACTCTGGTTGCAATAGTTTGTGGGGGGTGCAGATTAGGTGGGGACACAGTGTGGAGGGCGGGGGTCCTTCACTGGGAAGGTGTGTTGCTGCGCTGGGGTGCAACTGGAAGGGGCGGAGGGGCGGCAGTGGAGTGCAGAGGTGCAGTAGGGGGGTGGAGGTGCAGTACGGGGGGGCAGGGTGCCGCACCAGGGGTCAATGTGTCGCATCGAGGGGCAGTAGTGGGGGTCAATGTGTCACATCGGGGGGCAGTACCGAGGCGGCCCCGGGCGCGGCGCTGCGGGGCGGCGGGCGGTCCCGGCCGCGCTGGCCCCTCCCGGCAGGGCGGGCGCCGCCGATATAAGCGGGGGCAGCGAGGGGGGGCCCGCAGTGCGTTCGTTGCCGTCTGGGTGAGTGTGTCCCTGCGCTCGCAGTCATGAGCACCGGCATGTACCAGTCCCCCATGGAGGTGGCTGTCTACCAGCTCCACAACTTCTCCATCTCCTTCTTCTCCTCCCTGCTCGGGGGGGATGTGGTCTCCGTGAAGCTCGACAACAGGTAGGGGCAGCCTCGGTGCCGCCGCGGTGCCCCCGCCGTTCGCCGCAGGGCCCCGGGGGAGGGGGCGTCCCGGTGCCCCGGGGGGGGCCTGCTGCGTACCCTGATTGAGGTCCAGGGGCATTGCTGCTCCCGGAGCGAAGGGTGCGCACGACCGGTGCCTGGATTCCTGGATTTCCCCGGGGAGGGGGCCGCCCCGATGCATTGGCAGGGGGTGTGGGGGGGTGGCTGCGCGGATCCCCGTGGAAAGAGGGGTGCTCGGTGCTAACCCCCGGCCTCTCCGCTTTCTTCCAGCGCTTCCGGAGCCAGCGTGGTGGCCATCGACAACAAGATCGAGCAAGCGATGGTGAGCTGCAGGGCTGCCCCCCCTCCCCGCATCTTCCCCTGTCATCCCGCGGGTGCTGAGCCCTAGAGGGAGGCTCCCCGCTCCCGGGTGGGTGCTCTGCCCGAGGCGGAAGGTCCCTCTACCCCCGGGGGTCCTCCCTCCCCAGCCCGCTGCCGGGCAGAGTCGTTCTTTGTCTGCGGCTGGAGCTCATTGGCTCCAGCCGCGCCGCAGTGCGCAGGGAGCGAGGGTGGACATGGAAGGGGACCCTCGGGTTGTGAGGGCGACGGAGCCGGGTTCTCTGGGTAATCGGAAACTGCAGCCCCCCCTCCCCCTCAAACCCCGGGACAGGAGTTGGGGCTGGAGGGCTCCTGTGTTCGCAGAGAGACCGGAGAGATGGGGGCTGAGGGAGCTATGCTGCCTGAGCACCAAGCCCTGGCCAGGATTCCAAGGATAGGGTGGGGAGGGACAGCCTTGGGAAAAGCTTCTGCAGCACTTGGCACTTTTCCCGGTACTTGGTAAAGGGAGGGAGCTACCCCCAGGGCATAACTCCTCAGTGACGGTCTCTTCCATGGCCTTTTGCAGGATCTTGTGAAAAATCATCTGATGTACGCAGTGCGGGAGGAGGTGGAGGTCCTGAAAGAGCAAATCAAGGAACTGTTGGAGAAAAACTCCCAGCTGGAGCGTGAGAACAGCCTCCTGAAGACCCTGGCCAGCCCCGAGCAGCTGGAGAAGTTCCAGTCCCGGCTCCCAGTGGAGGTGCTGTGCCCTGAGGAGCAGAGCCCCGGGGTGGCTGCCCCGGCCCAGCACTCCGGGGCCTCTGCGGTGTAAGGTGGCTCTGTCCTTGGGGTGGGCAGAGCCACAGAACTCTTTCTACTTAATCTCCTACAAAATCGTTTCCGCCTTCATCTCACACGAAGGACTGCCAGACCTGGCGCTGAGCCGTGCCCCCCGGGCAGCCCTGGCCAGCCCGCAGAGCCAGTGGCCGTCTCCTGCATGAGGATGCTCTTCTTCAAGGGAGATGCGGGCAGCTGACCCCCCCTCCCCATCCAACCGCCCGCCGGGTGCCAGGAGGAGATCTGTGGCTGCCCGTCCCGGGCTCTGCTGAAGCCTGGGCACCTTGGCACCCTGGCAGTGCTGGGCAGCCTTTGGCACCCCGATGGGAGCCTGCGGTTGGAAGGAGCGCCGGCCGAGCCTCGGGCCACGGCTGCACTCTGCAGGGGGGTGTCTCTTTCTGGCAAAGCCTTACGTTGGAGGGAGACCGACGTTTAGCGAGCGAAGCACATTTGTCCCACGAGCCACCCAGGAGCCTGCTGGAACCCGACCCAGACTGAGCAGCACCAGAGGTGGCAGCTGCAGCGTAGTGCATGGCTGAACGCACAGCAGTGTGGGGATTACAAGGAAAAAAAAAAAAAGCTTGTTTTGTTAGTTTGGGCATCTTCTGTAGCTGTATCTATGTATAAACATGCACACGAGCGGTGCCTCCAAGGCTGTGGGGTGCCCGCTCTGGGCCAGCCATGCCCATTGGAACAGCTGGGGGATTCAAGCCAGACTGGAACAGTGAGCGGCTGTCACTGGGTGGCCAGCTGCTGCAAGTTGCAGCAAGGAGGGGACAGATTGACCCCTCTCTGGTGTCCCACATGATGAAGCAGTGTGGCAGCACTGGGAGGATCCGGACTGACCACTGGGCAGAGCCACGAGCGGGGCTGCGCTCCAGCCTGCTGGGTTGGGAGGAGCTGGCTTGTTCTCTGAGCTCCCCCCTGTACCTGGCCTGCTCTCTGGGAAGAGATGGG